ACAGGGCTTGCTTGTTTGTTTTTAAAATAAAAAAGTTCTATTTTTGGCAAATATAAAAGCCTTTTCACACCAAAAGTGAAACGAATAAGCCTCAGGCTGAAGGGAAAGTAAATTTACGTCCGTACAGTAGAGTGCAGAAGAAGACATTTCAACACACTTCAGCAATAAAAAAGACACAAATGTTTGTCTAGAGTAATTTGTGCGTATTAGTACGCTTGACTGGATCATCGAAGGTCAGAAGCAAAGACATTGGTTAATAGAATGGGATTAAATACATAAAGCATATTTGTGTTGTTAAACACTTAATATTGCAGTTGCATTATTTGTATTCATTTTGAGGAATACTGAATCTGTTTTTTTTTTGTGAGTGAGATGAATTAATGCATATCTTGAAAAGGTAATCTGATTACGTAACTCGCGTTACTTGTAATGCGTTACCCCAACACTGGAGATAACACAGATAAAATAGTGTATTATGTTCAACTCAAATTGATATTTAATTTGACATTTTGTGGCTAGTAGCCATGTGGCAAGCAGGATAATGCACAGACAGTTCCCGCAGACAGACACGTGTCATGTAGAAGTTACAGGAATGTAAAGACGTAACTCGGTCGCTTTTGTTGATTAGCTCGCCGCCTCACCTTAATGAACCTGTCCACGCTGCTGTCCTCAGACATGATGCTGACTGTGACACCCGCAGATCTTCACTCTTTGGCTTCAACAGGCGCGATCTTCCCTAAATCTGGACGTTGAACGAGGTCTAAGCGCTAAGATGCCTTCTTATGCACACTTCCCATGCTGTCCGATGAACTTTGCGCCTTTGCGTAACTGGCATTTAAATGCAATGAGTGACAGCCCACCAGACAGTTAGAAAAGCAACAAAGACGCGACTTTCTGAGGCTAGACGTGCTCGGCTAGCATCTTACACATGCATTTCACAGACTACCACCGTGGAGGCTGCCGTTCCTCCAGCCACTGTTTGCCAACTGCTCCACGCTGTTCTTCACAAGCGTGCAACGAAACCGATGAAGGACGATAAAAGCGTTACCCAGCGTTCAGCGATCAACTGTGTCTTGAAAAGCACCATAGAGACCAAATACTATCCTAGGTTTGTTTGCTAAGGTGCTAGCGCTACCTTTGAGCTGGGGAAGATTGCTCTTCGTTGTTACACGCCACATTGCGCGAGCATTCCGCCACCTAACGCAGAGGAGCTCAGCACTGAACATTTTTTTTTTTTTTTGCATTTCAAGCATCATAACATAACAAAATAGGCTAACATAACCACAACTGTAAGTCCTCACAGACTGAGACATTCATATTAATCATACTATAACACAGAAATAAACCATCATTCAAGACATTAATCCAAATAAAATAAAATAAAAATATATTCATGCAACCATAAACAATGTAGGGGATTAAACAAGATCACACTTATTAAACAAATCAAATAATTTATTGGCTTTATCACTTCTCGTAATTTTCAGGACCTCTGTATAGGGTGAATTCGGGTAATCTGGGACACCTAAACTCCAGTGTGTGCTTGATCTAATGTGTTAGATAGATATCGAAATAAATCAAAATTGCAAAAAATGTCCCAGATTACCCAAATTCACCCCACATGGCAAGCTCCTTTTTAAAGACATTAAACTGGGGTGCTGTTTTCAGAACTTTACATTTGTGAATAAAGTATTTTAATATGAGGAGTAAACAATTTACTACAAAGTCTACACTTTTGTCTTCCAAAAGTGGAAATTCCTTAGCAGGATAAATATCGTACACAATTTTAAAGTGCACTTCTTTATATTTTGGTGGAAGAGGAAATAACTAATATTTGTATCTAAATTCATTTACTGATTTCTTATTTAGATGTTGAAAAATATAGTTCCTTCTTATTGGACCAGGATAGAGACAATTTCTTACAAACTTATTAGTACACTTCTCATCTACAAAATTTATTTTGCCTCATTTAAGATCCAAAATCTTGGGAATGATAGTGGAGTATGTTAAAATCCCCTTTAACATATTAAGGAATGGTAAAGGAATACTTTTAGTAACTTTCAAATAAACTTTTTACTCACACTTAAAATTAAATTTAGTGCAGAAATCATTATAACTAAAAAAGCAGCCATTCTTATCCATAATGACCAATTATGGCACTGACCAAATACCTCTTTGCCACCAGTCCTCCAACTCAGCACTGAACATACTATTGGCATAATGCGGGGTTTGTCTCTCGTCTGAAAGTTGCGGCATATTACCAGACGATTTTCTGTTAGAATTGAATGATTATAATGCGAGCGGTCGCGTTGTATCGTGTCTTTACCATAGTAGCATATGGGGTTAGAATTGTTTCATATTTAGGAACAGTGTTGGGGGTAATATATTACAAGTTACGTAATCAGATTACTTTTTTCAAGTAACTAGTAAAGTAACGCATTACTTTTTAAATTTTTTAAGAATATCCGAGTTACTTTTTCAAATAAGTAACGCAAGTTTTTTTTTTTTTTTTTTAAAAAAAAATTCAGTATTGCTCAAAATGACTAAAAATAATGTAACTCAGAATGACGCAAACCTGCAATAATTAAATGTTAAACAACACAAATATCCTTTATGTATTTAATCCCATTCTATGTGCTTCTGAGCTTCGATGATCCAGTTCAAGCGTACTAATAAGCACAAATTACTCTAGACGAACATTTGTGTGTTTTTTTATTGCTGAAGTGTGTTGAAATTTCTTCTTCTGCATTCTACTGTACGGACGTACATTTACTTTCCCTTCAGCCTGAGGCTTATTCGTTTCACTTTTGGTGTGAAAAGGCTTTTATATTTGCCAAAAATAGTTATTTTAAAATCAAACAAGCAACCCCTGTCCAGATTTAAAAAGTAATGCAAAAGTAACATAACGCATTACTTTCCATAAAAAGTAACTAAGTAATGTAATTTGTTACTTTTTTATGGAGTAACGCAATATTGTAATGCATTACTTTTAAAAGTAACTTTCCCCAACACTGTTTAGGAATACTTTTAGATCCACAAATAAACATTGTTGGTGCTTGGTGGTAAGGCATTTCAAGTAACGCAAGTTACGTAATCAGATTACTTTCCCCAAGTAACTAGCAAAGTAACGCATTACTTTTACATTTACAACGAATTATCGGAGTTACTTTTTTAACCCTCTGGTGTTGTTCGGTCATTTTAGACCGGGAAAAAAAATGTTTTGAAATTTTAAAAATCGCTACTTCATCAGAATGGTACGAAACTCGATTATGGCAGTCACTATGTGACCACAAAAAAAAAATATATATATATATATATATAAAAATAAAATTGTGGACTTGATTCGAAAAAGCTAAATGGTCGTAAAAAAAAAATAGTCACACTTGTGTTGTTTCGCGGTCAAAAATGACCGCCATTGGAAATTAATGGGAAATATGCAAAAATACAGAGAAGTTTTTGTGAGTACAATCTACAAATCATTCACGATGCAGAAAAAAGTGCACAGCAATGAAGGGGTGACACTTTAAAATATCAAGAGATATGCAAAACAAAACGGTTATCTTTGAGAATGTCTAAATACTGTATAAATCCAAATCCACAACTTAAAAAAAGTATTTATGTTTAAAAACTAATTTATAAGCCTTTTATATAGAGCTCTAAAAGTGGCTAAACCATGGAATTGCAGAAGTTTTTCTTTTTTTTTTTTTTTACTCCCAGCAGATGGAACTAACCTGCCTTCAAAAATTGGATTTTAAAGGCATTGTCTCTATTTTAACATGAAATACTGCCATAATTGAAAAGTAAAAAAAATATATATTAGAAAAAAGTTTTTTTGTATTATTTTCAAGGGGAGAAATTGATCATAATTATTGCATACATATTAAATAGTACCATGAAATTCTCTCAAAATACAAAAGAAAAAATATTGAACAAAAATATATTACATTGATTTCACTGAAGAAAAAAAAAAGTTACATGTCAGGTGTCCGGTCACTTTTGACCACGAACAACACAAGTGTGACTCCCAAATGAACAATACCAGAGGGTTAAATAAGTAATGCAAGTTACTTTGTTTTCCCACGTATTGACTGACAGCTCCCCTGTCCTCATGTTGAGAGAAATCGGGAGCAAGTGCAGAGGAATAATTTCACTTTTGGTGTGAAAGGGCCTTTATAGTTGCTAAAAATATAACTTTAGGGTGTTTGTTATTAAAAAAACAAATAAGCAAGCCCAGCCCAAAACAAAAAGTAATGTAATGCATCACTTTCCATAAAGAGCAACTAACGCAATTAGTTACTTTTTTATGGAGTAACAAAATATTGTAATGCATTACTTTTAAAAGTAACTTTCCACAACACTGCAAATAAATACAAATATTACAAATTATCACGGTAGTCCAAGGGCCAAGGCACTTCTAATACACAGTTTTTAACATACAAAACACATGGTATTATCATGGGCCACTATTTTATTTATTTTTTAAGTCAGAAAGATAACAGAGTAGGGTGTTATTGGTGAAGAAGGAAATAACAATTCTAAATTAAGTTCATTATAAAGTCTACATAACACAAATAAATGTTTAAACACTGTAAAACCAAACAAAATTAGTGCACTGTATGTTAATAGGTATAAATACTCACCATAGTAAGCTCTTTTTATCCTTCTATCCTCTACACAGAGTCGTCCCAGAATACTAAGTTGGGCTTATAGAAAGAAGATAGCTCTTGTCACAAATAGGCTGATATTTATGGTTTACAAACCACACACAATTGCTTCTTTCTGTAAGCCACTATATAATAAAAACCAGAAAAACTGAGAAATATGCACGTGCATTATAACAATCAATATACAATTTTCTTTTTAAGGTGGGAAATCATATCTAACAATAAATGCTGCAAAATCATGAACAACACTTGTAATGTTTGATATTTATTTTCTTCTGCATGTTATTACAAAAAAAACATAATCAGAAAAGGACAAATATTTATGCACATTAAGAATAAATGAATTAATAAAAATGAATAAATTAATTAAACAAATACAATATCTGAAGCATTTATTACGCAAATCAGTGCATACATGCAAATAATTGTAGTCATTATGCTGTCTATATAATGCTTGAATTAAACCGAATAAAGTCAGCCCAATACAAATCTTCTCTCCTTTTGTCTGGTGGATAATCATAGCAATAACTTCCGTAAAATCAACTATACGTGACTAACTAATCATCACTGTTAGAACTATTGTTACAGACGAGAATTTGGACTAAACACGTATTATTTTTCAGTTCACATTAGCACATTACTCGTGTTGATGGATGAGAATCAGAATAATGTTCATTTTTAATAATGTCTGGCATGACTCTTATAATTAGGTGAATTCATCCATTTACGAATTTTTCTGAGGGACCTTAATTGTAACCTGTGGAGGAAAGAGTTAGTGAATAATAAAAAAATGACAGAACGAATAGCTGCAATATGGAGATTGTGGACTAAATATGCATCTAAAACACTCTACTTGACATCTTTTAATTTGAAATAAGCAACTCTAAAAGCACTGTGAGAAATCACTTTGGGCAAATGTAGGTTGTAAGACAGATACAACTATGCTATTTATAGTTCACAATAGCGAGTGAATTATGAATAATGAGTGCACTTTTAAATATCTGATGGCGAAAGCTTACCGTTTTGACCTCTGTGTAGTTGTCCAGTCCATACTCTCCTAACTCACGACCGATTCCCGAGGACTTGTATCCCCCAAATGGAGCCTGAGCTCCAAACACGTCATAACAGTTAATCCTAATGAAATAAAATGACAAGCACAAACCACATTTCAGAAAACAGCAAAGATGTCTGATAAACCCATTTCTAAGGTGCCACGTTCCCTTAAAGGGGTCATATGATGTTGCTAAAAAGAACATTATTTTGTGTATTTGGTGTAATGGAATCGCATCATATGACCCCTTTAATATAACAAAGCACATCCCATGCTCACCACACAGTGCCAGCGCGCAGGCCGTTGGATATGTAATGGGCCTTGTCAATGTTTTGGGTAAAAACAGCAACTGCATTGGCTCTCTCAATCACTTCCTCTAAAGATCTAAACTTCAGAATTTGCATCACAGGTCCAAAGATCTGACAGAAAAGAAAGGGAACAGCATGTTATCTCATACTGGATGTAAATCTTACAGCAAAATGGAATGAATAGAATTCATAATCAAATTAATATAGAAAAAACAGAATCTAAATAGAAATGCATCTATTCAGCCCTCTGTGTACAGAATGCCAAAAATTGTGCATTAGAAAACTATGTAAAATGGCATTTTATATTAATTTAAAACAACAGGTATAGCTCCTTTGAGGTAAATCAGAAAGAAAAGATGCTAAAAACCTCACATTATTAAGGTTATATTGAGATTTGTGGTGAGACGTGATTGGTTGATCTCTCCTACACATCTGGTTGTTAACTGATGCTGCGTCTGAATTTGTGTAAAGTTAAGTTTGTACTGCATTTGATGATGTATGCATGCATATAATATTAATTCAATCTGCAAACGGTGACTGCCAGCTGTAAAACTCTGAAAGTGATTCTATTACATCAGGGCCAGTATGCACTTGGCTTAGAATTTGCATAGTCACATTTTTTTTCTACAGGTTTTCAGCAGTGTTTTTCACAGTGCAAACTGTTTCAAATAACCTTTTTCCAGATAGTTGTGCCTTAATGTCTGCAAGCTGACACTATGACATTCACATCAGAGTTACATTTAAGAATTTAATTATAAATGCCTTTTAAATTCCAATTCATTTCTTGAATTTGATATGAATTCAAATTTAGGAAGCAAACTGAATGCAGAATTACATTTTGAATTAGTGTGTGCGGAAGCAGAATTTTATAGAAAATAAATTCATAGCTCATTTTTAATTCGAAAAGAAAAGTGTGTCAAGTCTTATTTGGAAGCTTAAAAAAAAAACTTTGAATTTTAAAGGTTTATATTTAATAGATCAACTTTTCCTGACTAGGGTGGGGAAAAAAACTAATTTCCCAGAATGCAATATCTGTGTTGAAATTCTTTGAATAGCAATTCATTAAATTCCTCTTCCTGTTACCGCAATTCATTACCATATTTGATGTTTATAAGCCTAAATTAAATCTGTCAATCATATAAAGTGGTCGCGTCTCTTCAGAAGACTTGGATTAAACCACTCGATTCATATAGATTACATTTACAATGTCTTTATGAACCTTTTGAAGTTGAACAGTTTGGTTGCGTGGAATTTCAATGGATGGACAGAAATAAGAGAAAACACATCTCTATTCGTGTTCCGAAGATGTAGAAGTTATATGGATTTTTAAATCCATATATTAAAGGATTTAACTAAAAAAAACATTAGTTGAAATAAAATAAATGTTAACTGAAATAAAATTAAATATATATATATAAACTTAAACTTATTTTAATTCAGCTAGTTTCCAAAGTAACATTTCTCATTTTTATTCAGTTTAACGTGATGTACTAAAATAACTAAAACTGACATAGAAATGAATAAAAACCATATAGACTATTAATAAAATGTCAAAAACACACATCAAAATGACTAAATCTTAAATTAAAATGGAAAATACAAAAGTAAAAGCAAATATTAATTTCTGACGTTAATATTTATTAATTGTCGTTAATACTAATTATTTAGTTAGGGCTGATTATTCATGCAGGAAATATTAAATAAACACTTCTGGAAAGCAAGATGATTGGAATCCCACTAGATCTCGTCTGTAAGTTTAGTGAGAGCTCAAAACTCAAAATCTTGACGTGAATGGAAAGGCCCTTTCCTTAGTAATGTGTTGAATAATTCAAGTGCACGCACCTCCTCCCGAGCAATTGTCATGTCATCTTTAACATCTCTGAAGATGGTGGGCTGGATGAAGTAACCGCGGTCAGCTGCCGCCTCGCCGCCACACATGAGCTTAGCGCCATCACGCTTCCCACTGCTGATGTAGCCAAGAATCTTCTGGAACTGTTCCTCATCCACCTTCAGCGAAGAGAGGACTATGGATGCAATATCAGAGCACTATGCTGATCATGCATTAGTTCAATAGGATGTCCTTACACAAACACATTCTCAAACCCACATGCAGAAATGTTTGTATAAACTAAAATATGACTGGTTTTGTGGTCCAGGGTCACATAAGGGTCAATTTTTCGAAATTGAGATTTATGCATCATCTGAAAGCTGAATAAATAAGCTTTTCATTGTTGTATGGTTGTTGTTAGGATTGGACAATATTTGGTTGAGATACAACTATTAGAAAATCTGGAATCTGAGGGTGCAAAAAAATCAAAATATTGAGAAAATCGCCTTTAAAGTTGTCCAAATGAAGTTCTTAGCAATGCATATTACTAATCAAAAATTAAGTTTTGATATATTTACAGTAGGACATTTACAAAATATCTTCATGGAACATGATCTTTACTTAATATCCTAATGATTTTTGGCATAAAAGAAAAATCAATAATTTTGACCCATACAATGTATTGTTGGCTATTGCTACAAATATACCCCAGCGACTTAAGACTGCTTCTGTGCTCCAGGGTCACATATGATACAAACAGGTTTATAGGTTTGTGACACAGAACTGTACCTGGGGGCCCTGCTCCATGTTCAAGTCAAAGGGGTCTCCCACAATCCTCTTCTTAGCTCTCTCTACGCTCCGCTCAACAAACTCATCGTAGATGCTCTCCTGCACAAACGTGCGAGAGCCTGCACAACAGCACTGGCCTCGGTTGAAGAACAGGGCGAAATGAGACTGCTCCACTGCCTCCTCCACTGCAAACGCAAATATCCTTTCATTAGAAAGATCGACACACTGGTTTACTATTAGAAAAGGGTCGTTCTTTCTTCTGTGGAACACAAAAAAAGGTATTTTGAGAAACATCTTACTGTTTTTTGTCCATACTATGAAAGTAACTGCTGTCCAGTGTTGTTTTGGACCAAACTGACTTTGATTTTATTGCCAAAAAAATTCTAAATATCTTCTTTTGTGTTCGACTGTTTATAAGAAAGCCATACAGGTTCGGGACGATGCGAAGGTGAATAAATGTACAATCCCTGTCTGCTAAAAAACACAAAAAAGCACTGTAGTTAAAAATCACTGAAAACCAATCATGAAAAAAATTATAGATTAAATCATTTAAATAGGGCATACACATATAGGAACTACATAAAGTAAGAAATAATAATAAATATAAGTAAAGACTATATATATTTTAAGTATATGTAGCTACAGATTAATTGGCCACATTTTGGCATCTTTATGTTGACAGTCTTTGAATTCATTGCCCAGATTACTGAGCAAATGTGACAAGCCTTTGGCAACAGAAGTGCTGTTTCTGCCATCTAAACATGCTTTAAACACACACACACACACACACACACACACACACACACACACACACACAC